GTCTTATGTGGGAATTGGAAGGGGAAGCTTTGAGTTTGAATTGGCTGGACCAGGAGCTGATAACTCTCTTGGCCTTTGCTGCTTCGGCATTGCCTGCCCAAGTCTACTGCCAGACCTAGCATGTCTGTTGTCAGCAGGGTTTGGCTTCCTGAGCAATCAGAAGTATCATAAGAAAACAGGAGAGTAGTAAAGTCTCAGGTCAGGGTTAGATGAAGTGGAAGTTGAGAAACTGCAGTAGGTCAGCATTGTAGGGGCCCAGGGAGCATGTCGTCGCCACCCAGTGAGTGTTTACCACCTGCCCAACTCCTCCCTGCTTTTCTCATGGGGGTTCTCTACATACTTTGCTTCTTTTATGATGGACTGTTACTGCCCTTGCTGTTTAGTTAATCTAAGTGGTGTGTCTTTTTCCCAGTTACAAGAAGACTCAAGAAACCCTTTCACAGGCAGGACAGAAGACATCTGCTGCATTGTCCACCATGGGCTCTGCCATCAGTAGGAAGCTGGGAGACATGAGGTAAGCAGTTGGAAACCTGCTTCAAGTCAAGGGTTCAGACACATAACATAGGGACACTCATGATCCTGGACCAGTCTACTTGTAGACCTTTGTGGGAATTCCTCTTACTCCTCTTGTCAGCCTTTGGCCATTTTTGTATTACTTGGGAAAAGAAAGATTGCTAGTCTCTTTTCCCTGTAGCACTTTTTTTTGTTTTTTTTTTTTTGGTTTTTTTGTTTTTGGTTTTGAGACAGGGTTTCTCTGTGGCTTTGGAGGCTGTCCTGGAACTAGCTTTTGTAGACCAGGCTGGGCTCGGACTCACCAAGATCCATTTGCCTCTGCCTCCCGAGTGCCTCTGTTAGAGGCGTGTGCCACCACCACCTGGTTCCCTGTAGCACTTTTGCAAAGCAGTGATGTTGCCTAGGATGAGATGGAGTGTTTAGGGCAGGTCACATGTTGTCTTTAGGATCAGCTTAGGGCTTCTTGAACTGTAAGATGCTATGTCTAGTGGTGGGTAGTTGCTGATTATACCACTGGTATCCTGACTAGCTCCCAGGAACTATCATTCTTTTCTTCCTGAAAAATAGGTTACTTGTTCATTTCAGGTGTTCTCACTCTCTCTCTCTCCCTCTCTCTCTCTCTCCCTCCCTCTCTGTCTCTCTGTCTCTCTCTCTCTCTCTCTCTCTCTCTCTCTCTGTGTGTGTGTGTTGTCCTTTTGAGATAGTTCATCACTCTGCATGTAGACTTACAGTAATTTTACTGTGTCAGCTTTCCAAATGTGGGGATTAGAGGCATGAGATACCACACTCAGTTTTACTGCTTTTTTATCTGTTCAGAGTATTCTGGTAGAAATCTGATAGGATGGGCATACCTTGGTGTTGATGGAAAAGGCTCTGAGCCATATTTTTTTCTTTTTTTGAGACAGAGTCTCACAATGTATACTTAACTGGTCTTGAACTTACTAAGTGGATCAGCTCGTCTCAAACCCATAGAGATCCACCTGCCTCTAGCTCCTGAGTATTGGTATTGAAGACATAGATACTATGCCTAGCCTGTTTAGCCATCTTTTTGTTTGTTTTTTGTTTTTTGAGATAGGGTTTCTTTGTGTAGTCTTGGCTGTCCTGGAACTTGCTCTGTAGACCAAGCTGGCCTCCAATTTACTAAGATCTGCCTGTTTCTGCCTTGGGAGTGTTGGGATTAAAGGCGGTGTAGTTCTGTTACCCGACTATGTTTAGTTGTCTTGATGGAACTGTTTTTTTATGTGGCCTGCCTTTCTTTGGGACCATAAGACATGATCCTTGTTGGAGAAGAAATAGTTCCTGTTTTCTCCTCAGAGAACTGGAATTTGCTATTGACCCTATGTCATGCAGTCTTGGGACTATGGTAGGCAGTTAGCAGGGTCCCTGTGGCAGTGATGCTGGCATAGCAGTCAATGCTCTGGCATGTGTGGGCCAACCACAGTGACAAGGGAGGGTTTTCAACAAGGTCAGAGAAACTGGTTCTCTCCAGTTGGGTGGTTGTGCTGATTGTGTTCACAGTGCCCAACAGGCTTCCTGTTTACTTTGTGTCTTCTCCCTGGGAAGAGAGCATATCTGTTGGTGTTTGTATTGGTGTTTTGAACTCTGATTTCTCTGGTCCACAGCAGAGCCCCCATCATCTCATAACCAACCACAGTGGTTTCTGTGGCCCAGGTCTATCATGCTCATAGTTTCTTTTTTTGTGGTGGGGGGAGAGTTGAGACAGGGTTTCTCTGTCGTTTTGGATACTGTCCTGGAACTCTCTTTGAAGACCAGGCTGGCCTTGAACTCACAGAGATCCGCCTGCCTCTGCCTCCCAGTGCTGGGATTAAAGGCGTGTGGTGCTACCACAGGCTTGTAATTTATACTCAGGAAGTTAATAGCATGTGTTTAGGAGGGTTAGATGGATGTTTCTGTCCATGGTAGACCAGTCCTAGAGCCATTGGAGCTCCAGGAGCCTCTGATATACCCTGAACTTGGGATGGAAAGAGAGAATTAGGTTTGATGACCCTACTTAAACCTACAGAGTGGTGAGTGCATTCTCCAGTGGTCCCTTCTGTGTTGGGATTAGACTCTGCTCAGGGTCACTCATAGATTTCAGCAATTTGGGGGTGGAGGGGGGTCGTACTGTGAAAGAGTGACTAGCTATGTTGTTCTATTATGCTAGCACCTGCCCTTGGCCATGGATTTGTTCTAGGCTGGCCTCTGTGATACAGCCTAGAGTCTTAGTGCTTAGCTCCTAGTATGTTATAGGTCATCTTATGGTGCTTGGGTTCCTGTTTAGCTTTCAGAGAATGCAAGGTGCTCCATGGACATGAAGTGTTGACCCAGCCTGGCTGGCTCACTGTGTCATATCTCAAGTCTTTACTCACTGGGCTATTTATGTCTCAGGGTTTTTTTGTTTGTTTGTTTGTTTTGTTTTGTTTTGTTTTGTTTTTAAGACCTCCTTTTGCTTTCTCTCCTTTAACATGTAATTGTTTGTATTGTTATACATGTAACAATGCTCAGAAATACAGTGTCATGAACCATATGGTTGTCAGATATGCTTTCTTACTAGCCTTTTGTGGAGTCAGGATGGGGCTATTCTGCTGTTCCTATCAGTTTAAGCACTAAAGAAGCATTCAGAATGTCTTTTCACAAGCTAACCCTACTTAACCTTCCAGAATTTGAACAGAGAGACATAGGGCTTCTATTGGGGGTCTTATATGGCCTCTCTTGCTTAATAATGCTGTCTTTCTTCTTTTCTCCTGCTGCTATCTTTCAGGGCTCATCCGTTCTCACACTCCTTTAGGTAAGGTGACCTTGGACATGACCTATGGACACACCTATATTAGGGCAGGGTGGTCTCTGGTAGGCCAATGGGGGACTTCGCTGGGTGGAAGTAGGAAAGCCAGTGCAGTGGAAGCCCCCTCTGCCTCAGCATGGTACCCAGTAGGCAGCTTCTTGCTCACAAGGCATGGTTTATATGACTGTCCCTTTTGAGTGCCTCATCTGGACCTGACTGGATTGAATGTTCCTGGGGCAGTAAATGACTGATCTAACATCATATGGCAAATGTCCATATCTAAGTTTGTGCCTGAAAATAAGCATTATCATATAGGAGGAAATATCAACCCTGTCCCTTGTGTTCTCAGTCCTATCATGTACAGACCCTGTGTTCTTGTTTGTGAGAAGCAATCCTATGCTCCAGACTTGTTTAATTTATTATTTGAAAGCCCTTAGATACTCCTCTCTAGGAGTCTTCATGCTGACATCTGCAGTATTGCCACATCCTAGTAGTAGGCACTGGGAGATCTAAAGCCAAATCAGAGCAATCTGTGACTTTAAATATTTTTACTTAACTTACTTTGTATGTTATACTTTTGTCAAAACATCATTCAACTTGCTGTGGGCACCTGAAGACTGTGTCCCAAATATTCCCAAAAGCCCTAGTCTAGGTCTCCACACAGTTTCCCTGTTTTGTTTGTTATTTGTTTTTGTTTTTGTTTTTTGTTTGTTTGTTTTGAGTCTCATTGTGTACTCCTGGTTGGGCTGGAAGTTGTTTTGTAGACTAGGCTAGATTTGAACTCAGAGATATACCTGTCTCTGCCTTCTAGTGGTAGGACTAATGGTGTATACCCCTGATTTCAGTTTCCCTGTTTTAATGCTCTTCTTGGTCAGTGCCACACTGCTCAGCAATGGTAGCATTGGAAACCCTCGGAGCTGCAAGAGAGGGCATTGTGTAGAAAGGGTCAGTAGCTCACTCTCATGGTGCTGGGAGAGTCTTGCCTCTTCTTATATGTGAGCTAAGCTGGCGAGTGTGGGCTGATCTGGCACCATGGGCTAATTCTTGCTTCCTTCTCTGCTTTCACCATGCTTCCAAGCAGCAGCTACTCCATCCGCCACTCGATAAGTATGCCGGCCATGAGGTAATGTATGCCTGCTTCCATTGCTCCAGAAATGTCTGTGGGTGGGGGTGGGCAGCAATACCAGTCTACCTTGTACTTCTGTGTTCCCCAATCCATGTGTCTTCATTTTCTTGGCAGCTTCCTCTCAGCTAAAGACTGTATATAGGCTGGCAAGGAAGAGCTCATGGGAAGGAAACTTCTTTCGAGAAGGGAACCATTATGTGAACCTATGACCCACACTTAACTTTGCAAGCTCTAGCTCTGGATGCCTGTGGTTTCAGCAGGGAGGGTTAGAGAGGCTGGCACAAGGACCTGGGACCTCCATAGATGGATCTCTGGAGACCTCATTTTCAGAGCCCAGTGGGACCATCTCTAGTGTAGCCTGTTGCTTCTCACCTGTTTGGCCAAGCATAGTGCCTCAGCAAAGTACATTGTTGTTAGGAAGATTGTTGTGTCTTACTGTGTGAGGACTTTTCTCCTCTGTCTTCCTACCCTCTACTATTCTAAAATTGTCTGTGATTTCCCTTTTATGTGGTTTGTCTGAAGATATACTTGAAAGGCTCCAGGAATTCTCATAATCCCAACACTAAAAAAAAAAAAAAAAAAACTAAAAAACAGAGGAGACAATATGATCAAGAGGTGGCTTTTTTTTTTTTTTTTGGGTGACGCTCACTTGTACTCTAAGTGTGTTGACTCCAGTGATTTCCTAAAACGTGGGAACTTGATTGCATGATTTGTGATAATGGGGGACCATATTCTTGCTCTCCTAGCAGGGGACCTCCTAAGGTGTCTTTTGTTTTTTTCAGTGCTTGATGACCCCACTGAGCTGCATGTGATCTTGATCAAGGCTGTCTACTTAGATTGCAGCAAGGATCCTGAACACTGTAGTCAGGGATTTACAGTATGCTTTTTTTTTTTTTTTTTTTTTTTTTTTTTTTTTTTTTTTTTTAATAATTTGAGCCGTGTTTTATTAATATACTCAGAGCAGTACAGTACTCTTAAATGACATCTGGACCCAACCTGGAAAGCACCCAAAAATGACCCTGTGTAGAGTTTTCAAGGTCATTGTTCTCCTTTCTGTTGTGTCATGCTTTCATGATGAGAGTTTAGGAACTGGTCATAGTCCTAGCTGTAGGTCCTTCAATGAAGAAGATGAGGTGACAAAACAGTTCTTCATGCCAGCATCTCCCTTCTCTCTTTAAAGGAACTCTGCAACCTTCAAGTCATTTGAAGACCGAGTGGGGACCATAAAGGTAACTATCCCTGGGCTGCATGGTTTCTTGAAGTATGTGTGTGATCTATTGAATCAATTTATTTATTATTGAGGAATCAGTTATTACAGGACTCATGTTAAAGGCCTTTTGTGCCTCTCATGTTGTTCCTGCAGTAATAACATCTTACAGAACTTGGGAAAAGTCTCGACACAAAGACTCTGTTTTTGTTTTTAATTTTTTGAGACAGGGCCTCACTGTGTAGCATGGCCTGGAATTCACTCTGTAGACCAGGCTCACCTTAAATTCAGTTCATCTGTCTCTGCCTCCGAAGTCCTAGGATTATAGGTATATGCCATCAAAGCAAGCTGAAACACATTCTTATTTATCAGTGCCTCTGGAGTCATGCCCACCTTCCTTCTTCCTTTGCCCTGCCAACCCCTAGTTTGTTCATCTCTATAATTTTATCCTTTTAAGAATGTCTCTTAGGTTGTAGAGATGACTTGGATAAACACTTGCAGCACAAAAATGAGAACTCAAATTCAGTTCTATTTCTCTTTTAAAATTTATTTGGGGGAGGGTATGTATATATGCCATGGCACACATGTGTAGGTCAGAAGAAAACTTGTCTCTCCTTTTACCATGTGGATCCCAGGGATCAAACTCAGGTGGTCAGTCTTAGTGGCAAGAACCTTTACCTGCTGAGGCCATTCTTAGTGGCCCAAGGACTGGAATCTAGATCCCTAGCATGAAAAAGTCAGGTAGGTGTGGTAGCCTGCCTATAATCCCACAATATTCTGGAGTTAGAGACAGGGTATCTCCAGGGCATACTGGCTAGCTAGACTAGCTAAGTCCCTGAGGTGAGGGTTTGGTGAGATAATTTGCTTTAGTAAATAATGTGAGGAATGATTAAGGAAAATATCTCATGTCAACCTCTTGTCTCTACATCCATTCATACCTATACCATGCACACATAAGCAGAACGTTTAATCCCAGCACTTGGGAAGCAGATGCAGGCAAATCTCCATGAATTCTAGGCCAGTCTGGTTTATATAGAGAGTTCCAGGACATCTATTGATATATAATATACCCTGTCTCAAAAAAAAAAAAAATTTTTTTTTTTTTACTTTGTGTTTTGCCTGCAAGTATGTATATTCACTATGTGCATGCCTGATCTTGTGAAGGTCAGAAAAAGGCAGTTGTGAGCTACTACGTAGGTGTTGGTAACTGAACTTGAATCCTTTCCAAGAGCAACAAGTGCTCTAGATCAATGAGCCATTTCTCCAGCTCCCTCCCCCAGATATATGTTTCTTTTTTCTTTTCTTTTTTTTTTTAAAGATTTTATTTATTTATTATGTATACAACATTCTGCTTCCATGTATATCTGCACACCAGAAGAGGGCACCAGATCTCATAACAGATGGTTGTGAGCCACCATATGGTTGCTGGGAATTGAACTCAGGACCTCTGGAAGAGCAGCCAGTGCTCTTAACCTCTGAGCCATCTCTCCAGCCCCCAGATACATGTTTCTTAATATGCAAAATATAATCAATCTAGTGGAAGCACACAGTATGAGTACTTTTCTAAACACCACAATGAGTAATTCTTGGGGAACCTATCCAGACTCTTGTGTGTCATTGACTCATTTCTTTTCATTGCTGACTAGTGTTCATGTTGCATAAACCTGTGTAGAGAGTTGAACATGGTCCCTGGACCTATTCTGTTTTTTGTTGTGTCTTAGGTTTACTTTCTCTGTTTTTTCTATAGTCTAAGGTTGTGGGTAGCAGAGAGAATGGCAGCGATAACCTCCCTTCCTCACCTGGAAGTGGTGACCAGCCATTATCGGATCATGCCCCTTTCTAAGCTTGTTATAGCTTATCAGCCACAGAATACAGAAGCACACCCTCATCATCACAGCTGCAACTCTGCATGACAGAGCAACCAGCCAGGGCCAGTGAAGAGCTGGTTTTGAAGACAGTCATACCCATCTACATGCAGATGTGGCTGCTGCCTTGGCATGAATTAGAGAACAGTCTTGTACATAAATGTTTTACACTAAAGTTCATAGATGAAGCAGATCACTGTGCCATCCTTTCCAGGGCCACAGGAAGTGGACAGGGTGGAGGGGCTCGAGGAGTATTGAACAGGAGCAATGTTCCCTTTGCTGGTCTCACCAGAATGCTGAGGGGAAGAATTGTCAGGGGTAATAATTGTCAGCATTTCCTTGCCTGCCCTCCTCAAGGAATATACTCACCGAGGTCATCCTGCATGGTTATAGTTTTTCATATAGATTTGAGAAATGAGAGAGTTCTCTATTTTCTGAGACCCTAGAAAGGAAACATAAGCAACTGCTTCATTCTTAGAAAACAACCTTGCTTTGGCAGAAGCAGATCCACTATTTTTTAAGTGTGATGGACTTTTCAAAAATTAAATAGAAAAAAAGTGAGGCAAAACAACTTTAGCCTCATTATTGAAAAAAATATTTCTTTGAATTCAAGCCTTACATTGCCTTATGCTTTATTTGTTTATAGTCTTTTTTAATATCCCTATAAATGAGGGTTCTTAAATGAGTTATGAGTACTATGTAGAGTTTTACCTCTGGCCCATCTCATACTCTGCCAGTACCAGTTAGTGCGTTTTATTTCTCTAACACTATCTCCTGGTGTGCAAAACTTGGTTCTTTTGAAGAATGGCATTTCCCAGTAGCTTTCCACTCTGGCACAAGGCTCTTGTGCTGTGTGTCAGGAGCATTGAGAGAAGGAAAAAAGCCTCAGTCTTTGGCATCTTAATGGGATATGCCCTGCACAGTGTTGCTTTACTGACAGTGAGCAGGGCTATGGTTCATAGTTCCTGCCTACCTGTCCATTACACAAAAACTAAATGAAAAGCAGAACCAGCCCTGCAGGTCAGATAGGGGATGTGGTTTTGGTTCAGCCAGAACTCTGCTGTCATCTTTTCTCAGGAGCTACAAAGATTTCTAAGTTCCCTTCTCCTGCCTCCAATTGCCACATTCTGCATCCTCTCAATGCCAGGGCCCTGAGTGTTGGGAGGCATGGTCTGGAGGGAGGGGCAGCACTGTGCCTTAGTGGCTCTTAGCAGGGCAAATACTTTGTCTTTTGTGCACATTTCTGCACTCCTGGAGGGGGATGGGGTCTGTCCATTTAAGTGTCTGGTTTGATCCGGTGTGATGTATCCTTTGATTATCAAGTTCCTTGGTTTCTTTGGATACCCTTAGAATACTGTACCACACAAAGCAAGGAACAGTGAGGAACTGGGGAGCTGAAGAAGAGATATCTTGGTGTCTTCTCTTTCAGGATTAAAAACAATAGTGTGAGGAGGCAGGCTACAGGAGTGCAGGTCACTGATGTATCTTCCTACAAAGAATAACAGGCAACTTGTCAATAAAGCATTCCTTTGGAGGAAAATCCACATCGATTTGTTTGGTATGTCTTTTAGGATAATGACAAAAGAGTGGGGAGTGAATGCACATGATTCCTTGCTTTGAATGGGGGCAGACAGGAGACAGTCATGTACAAATTACACGTCATTAGTGTGCATATAAAGGGAGGGACTTGTGTAGAAGCTGCATCTCTGGATGAGACCAGGGATACATGCCAGGCATGCAGTTGAGAGGCCTGCAGTCCATTATCAAGATCAGCTGCACTGAAGGTGCCCTTTTGTCCTGTGATCATCTAGCTTTGCTGGCTTTTGCCTCGAGGTTGGATGATACCCAAGAACTCACCTGGCATAAGTGGGCATTGAGAAGACCAGCATCTTAAGCCCCACTGAGAGAAGATTGTCACTCCTTGGCATAACAACCTTTAGGAGGTGTGATCCTTTTCTGCAGATGAGGGGCCATGTGAAATAATGATGAGTAACTGAAGACTCTTAAGTGCTTAGTGAACAGGGTAAGTTGGAATTGTTGGCCAGGTCAGAAGGGATGATGGTGTGGGTGGGATGGGGAGTGGCCCTCACACCGGGCAGGGCAGCAACTGGATCTGGACTAGAAATTCAATATTTACCCTTGGTTATATTGGAAGACAGTCCGGTGCATTCTGATCATTAAGCAGATACCTTAAATTAATCAGTGGCTATGAGATTGCTTGCCAGGCTTTGTGGGTGCATGATTGTGTTCATGGACCCAGATCTCAAGAATTGAACTCCTTGAAGATGTCTTCCTTTGACCAACTTTGGTTCTAATAAAATGAGGTGTGATGTAGGTCAGAGCATATGGTGGACTGGAATGAGTGAAATGGGTTTGAGAAGCTTGTACTGGGGAAGAGCAACTATAACTGAAGACTCAGATTGAGGATGGTGGAATCTGCCTTATATAAATGAAGGGTTAAATAAAGCACTTAGCATCAAAGGCAAATATGAAACCCCCCTCAAGTTAACTACTGCCAGTATTTGTCAGATATCTCTCTGTCATATGGTCTCTTAAATGTTGGCTTACTCTCTTGGCATAGTGGTGCATACCTTAAATCCCAGCACTTAGGAGGCAGAGGAAGGTGGATATCTGCAGCAGGCTTTCTTAGATTGACAGCCCCCAAATCATGACACAGAAACTAATTATGGATGCTCAGCCTTATCTTTTTCTTTTAAAGATTTTATTTATTATGTATACAACATTCTGCTTCCATGTATATCTCTTCTCCAGATTTCATAACAGAGGGTTGTGAGCCACCATGTGGTTGCTGGGAATTGAACTCAGGACCTCTGGAAGAGCAGCCAGTGCTCTTAACCTCTGAGCCATCTCTCCAGCCCGCTCAGCCTTATCTTAAGCTTATTTCTAAGCTATCTTTAAAAAAAAAATTAAATTAACCCATTTCTATTAATCTATGTGCTACCCCAAGGCTCATGTACCTCATCTATGTACTGTCCATCCTGCTTCCTCCGTGTCTGGCCGACTGGTCCTCCCTTTTTTTTCTGCCTGCCAGCCCCACCTTTTTCTATTGACAGTTCAGCTTTTTATTAGACAAATCAGGCGCCTTAGGCAGGCAAGGTGAAACATAGGTAAACAAAGGCAGCATAAACAAATGTAACACATCTTTACATAGTTAAACGGATATTCTATTTTACAACAGATATCTGTGAACTTGAGGCCAGTCTAGTCTATGAAGAGTTTCAAGATAGGACTACACAGAGAGAGCCTGTCTTCAAAAAAAAAAAAAAAAATGAATAAAAACAAAAACGATTGACTCATTTAATTATGAATATTTGTAAATTTTTTAAACATCATGCTTTTGCAGAGTTTACTGTGAAGAGTTATCACAAGCATTGTGTGTGTGTGTGTGTGTGTGTGTGTTGTAGCCATTTTTTTCCCCATAGCTATTTTGTATATGCTCCTTTGTTTTTGTATTTCAAGACAGGGTTTCACTGTGTAGTCCTGGCTGTTCTTGACCTCACTATGTAGACCAGGCTGGCCTCAAACTCAGACATCTTCCTGCCTTTTAGTGCTGGGATTAAAGGCATATACCGCCACTACCCAGCTATTTTGTATACACTTTTATGGTATATTCCATTTGAATGTACATATTTGGGCAGTTGGGTGGCAATTTTCCATTTTCACTATTATAAATTTTTGTTTCTTTTCCCAAGATAAGGTTTCTGTGTTGCTCTGTCTGTCCTGGAACTCACTTTGTAGACCAGGCTGGCCCTGAACTCTAGATCCTCCTGCTGTTGTCTCTTGATTAAAGGTGTAGGATTTTTGCCATTTTCACTATTATTTATGATACTACCACTAACATCTTAGTACATAAAACTTAAGTATTTGGAGATATTAGAGACAATCCTAGATCTTGAGGGATTCATTTAAGGCTGAATGATTTTTTTTCTTACAGTTCCCAACATAGACAGCTTTATAGCTTCAGTTTTCAGTGGGTTCCAGGTCCATTTTTCTATTTCTTCCAACTGTGGAATTTTTCACTCATGTTCTCCCCCTCAAATGGTCTCATTATATAACCCCCTACCTCAAATTCAAGAGCCTCCTGTCTCTGCTAGGATGACAGGCATGTGTCATTGCACCTGGCTTTCCTTTTATTGAGTTAATAGATAACATGGTCTTCCTGCTTATTGATTTTCTTACTTGCTTCATGTTGTGCAACTTACTGAGTTTCTTGAGCTATCCCCTACTCAAAGTCTGAGCCTGGAACAAGTCAATTCAAATTCAACCAGTGTGCACAAAGTATGAATGAAGAGAAAAGACATCCAATTGGGTGATGTGAACAGACCCTGTTGGGAAAGATTGGATTTTGCTAAGTTCATTATGGGAGGCCTTGAGTGTCATTTGCTTTGTTTTGAAAGCTGATTTATGGTCACATTAGTAGCACCCATCTATAACTTGGTCATAACCAATACCTTTCTGATTGGACTTAAGGCCTGCTCAGGAAGAGGGGAATCATGCCTGACACTGGAAACCTAGCCAACTACTTCTGGGGCTAGTGAAGTCATGGATCACTTTACTAAACCAGCATAATCCCTAGTTACATCCTAAATAGTTATCATTATACCCACAGATATGTGTAGTTTTCACCCTTAATCAAAGAAGCCTCTTTCAAATAGATGCAGATCATCATAGAAAACTGCAACTATCAAACTGCAGAGTTGTAGAGCCCAGTCCCAATTGATGCATCTACAACACAACTCTTGCACCTAAGGCTCAGGGATCATTGTAGAAGAGGGGAAAGAAAGATTGTAAGAACTAGGGGGACAGGAAGTTTGCTTTAATGCCAGAAGCTACATCCATGAAGTCTAGCCAACATGTCTGACTAACTTCAACCTGAACAAGGACATCAGCAGACATGTTAATGTGTAAGGGAGAATGCCCACAAGGCCTCAGCCCTAAACCAAGAAATACAGGCAACTAAGGAATTGTGAGAGCTGGAGAAACAATCTTCCTGAGGGAAAGCACATAGCAATTTGGTCAGCCTTGAAGATGTACACATACAAGTAACATACAGACTAAGCAGGTTATTCCTATATCTAGGAATTACATATGTGACAACAAAAAAGAGGCCGTGAATTTAGAGAGGAGAGAGAACATAAAAGGGTTGGAGGGGGAAATAGTGTAATTATAATCTAAAAATTATAATAAAAATGGTTGATAGGCAAGAATGAAAGTGAAAGTGTAGGAGCACTTGCCACAAAGATCATTTTGGTAGCTCTGGGTATCTGCCTAAAAACACAGTAGCACTTGAAACGATAGGATTATTTATTTTCAAGACAAGGTTTCTCTGTGTAGCCCTGGCTGTTCTGGAACTCGCTTTTTAGACCAAGCTGGCCTCGAACTCAGAGATCTGCCTGCTGGAATTAAAAGTGTGCACCATCATGCCTGACGAAATGGTGGGATTATTACAGGGGGTAATAGGCAAGGTGACCAGGTTTCTCCTTAATAAATGAACAGGATGAACAAAGACTGTATGGGAGAGAAGGAAAAGTCCTTATCCGTCCTCGCACATGGTTGCAGGTGATACCTAGAGGATCGCTAAGTAATGGCGGTTGGTTTTTCAGTGACTGGGGAGGCAAGCAAGAAAGTACTTTCTGGGTGGTCTCCAGAGATGACCAAAAAATGTCAGTCCCACAGCAGTGGCTAGCGATGAAGATGAAGGTCTGCTTCTCCCCGCCATCTCCCTCTCTAGATTTTGTTAATGAGAAGTAAATTTTTTGAGGCTTAACTGAAGCACTGAGCAAACTCAACTGCTAAACAAGGGCGCATTTACTCAGTGGAGTGCTGCTTGTCTGCTTTCTGGGGCATGATTCACCTCATGTCCAGAGGCGATGGAGCGACCCTCACGCCGGGGCCCTGCTTGACGGCAGCGGCATCCTGGTTTAGAGGCTGCAGGCTCCGCCCACCTCTTTAACCCTTCCCAGAGATCCACCATCGGGGCACCGCCTTTCTGGGACCCCAGGTCTACCGGAGCTCCCGAGACTCCCCGCAGGGCTGCTACGTTGGCTCCGCCCCCACAGGCGGAGCCTCTATGTGGCGCTCTGGGCGCTTGCGCAGCCGGTTCTGACCCGGCGAGCACACGTCCTTCCGGGGCGCGAGTGCCAGTTCATGAGCGTGCGCGTTCTCGCCGCCGCCGGTGCTGCTTCCGCCGTCCTCTGCCGCTGCTACCGCTGTCGCCGCCCCGGATCCTCAGGCCGAGCTGTAGGACGGCCGGCTGCCCATCAGCGGCGGTGCGGAGAGCGGAGCCGCGGGACCGGTGGACAGGCGGGCAGGCCGACAGGTGAGCTCACTGCCGGGTGGCCCTCGAATTAGGTGGAGCCGCGGGAGCCGGGGGAGGGGAGGGGAGCGGGGCGAGGGCGCCGCAGAACGAGGTGAAGGCTGCCCACAGCCGGAAATGGCGGCCGGCCTTCAGTCGGGCTGGGCCCTGGGCGCCGCTAGGCCCCGCTCGACCTTGCGCACCGCGCGGCGGCGCGGGGACGAGGCTTTCCGGGCCAACCCGGGTCCGCACGCTCGGCCGCCTCCGCGGCACCCAGGACGCAGAAACTCTGGTGTAGGGAGGAGGGCATTGAAGGCTCCGAGGCTCGTTCACAGCCTGGGGCGCGGAAAATTGCCTTGCAGTTGTAAATTCCAAAAGCATTTACCTGTGAAAAAAAAATTATATGCTTCACAATGACATTTTAAGAGGCGCTTTTGTGTAATTCTGTTAGGGAAAGTTATTAGGGACTCATCCGTTTAGGCTCCAATTTGTGTTATCTGGCTGGATTAAAAGCTTGTTTTTCCTTGTGCCTAGGAGATGATTTTCCGAATTCTTTAAGTGCGTCTTTGGAAAAAGAATGCAAAAGTAGCTTTGTTTTCCGTTTGGACTTACGGAAAATTGGGTGATTTGTCTGTTGAAAAAAAAAAAAACAAACACTACTTAATAACAAAGAATACATACATATACATATATGTATATATATGTATATGTATGTATATTGTCACGGTTACCTAAAGGAAGAACTCGTAACAGTTGTACGATAATTTTTTATTTAAGGAAATAGCCATCTGTTGGTTGGCAAAAAAAAAAAAGTCAGGACTTAAGTGTTTCTGGACCGTTTCTGACCTAATGTGTTAAGACTCTGTTATCTGTATCAGTGGTTTCTTTTTTCTTTTCTTTTTTGGTTTTTTTGTGTAGCCTTGGCTGTCCTGGAACTCACTCTGTAGACCAAGCTGGCTTTGAACTCATAAAGATCCTTGAACTCAGCACAGCATGTCTCTGCCACCTTAGTGCCGGGACTAAAGGCTTGTGCCACCACTGCCTGGCCGTTATCAGTGTTTTCATACTTAGGTTGGCCTGTCTGTGTGGACCCCAAGTGTGGAGCCAGTGTAAGCTCTGAATGGAGACCCTTTTGGGAAGAGGTGGTGCATCAGTCCTTGGAGAGTTTTAAGCTCCCTGCCTCACACTCTCCTTGCCCCTACAGGCTCCTTGGTAGGCTATGAACAAATTTAAGTGCTCAGCTCTTGATTTTTTTCTTGAACACTCACTTATTCCTGTTCTGTGAGATATTCTTAGATTCTATTACTTAGAATTTCACCTCTCTACTTCCCATTTTTCTCCCTTCCTTGCTTGCTTAATTTTCACACAGCACTTGACTCTTGCTTAACATATGTAACATTTTTTCTAGGTAAGATTTTTAGTATGTCCCCAGTATTTATTGAGTGAATGCAAATGAACTTAGTAACAGCTGGGCTATGGCCCTCTCACCAGGAAGTCAGTCAGTGAATACTAAACGATTGAAAGGTGCTTGGTTCCTGGGAGATAGATGTACAGGGAACCATGTATTCTCAAAGACAGACCCACCAACTTTCCCCTGCCCATTGAAAAATGTACAGTCAGTTAATAGGGTATTAGAAAGGAGTTTAGGACTTCCCTGTAAATCTCTTTGCAACTTTTGATCAGTGATTATTTGAAAGTTAAAAGCTTTTTAAAAGTCAGATATGCCACTGGCTAAAAAGTAAAAAGCTCTTAGAATTGTTGTCTTTGGTTACCTGTCTGTTGGAACTTGAGGTGACAGTGAAATGAAGTCATCTTACTCTTACTTCTTGTGAGGAGGTGTAAACAGGATCTGACTATATGCTGGCTTGCTACTTGTGCTCCTCCTGCTCCAGCTATCATAGGCACCACCATACGGTCCAGCTTCTAATGCCCTCAGCTGGAAGCTCATTATGTGGGGTGCTATGGCAGCCCAGGAGACTTCTTAGTGACTGAAGGACTCTGGGGTCCTTTTTAAGGCCTTTGCTTCCTGTTCATCTAAACTTAGAAGAGTATCTAGATTTCTCTGTATTCTTGAGAACAATTGTGTTAGTGTGTGGTTCATTGTTGGGTGCATGTCGCACAGTTTTACCCACTTTTGCCCAAGGGGACTTTGGAGAGCGTGATGCTTCTGGGTACAGATGCACCCTGACAACCTGCTATGCTCAAGACCTAACCTAATAAATCAAACTTGAAACTTCAAATGAACTCAAGGCTTCTGAGCCAGATTCTTTTGTTCATTGACCATAATCTGCCAGCATGATACTCACAGGTTTTTGTTGAATAAATAACCAAAATGCAGTGATAAAATGAGGTGTGAAAGCAGAGGGCAGGTAAGCTTGGGGTGTGGGATTTGAAGTATGTGATACTGTGGGCAAACTGTATCAGCAAGTTGAGAGAGAGCAGTTTTTCTCTAGTAAGGAAACAAACTCCTGAGATTTAGGGAACTGGTTAGGAACTGTTTGTATGGAAATGAAGTACAAGCATCAGTCCTACATGTGAGGACTCCTGGTGTTCCTGTGGTAGCTCGGGTTGGAGGGATGGCTTAGAGGTTAAGAGCACGGGCTGCTCTTCCAGAGGTCCTGAGTTCAATTCCCAGCAACCACATGGTGGCTCACAACCATCCGTTATGAGATCTGGTTCCCTCTTCTTGTGTGCAGATATACACCGGAGCAGAATGCTGTATACATAATAAGTAAATAAATAAAATCTTTTTAAAAATGTAGTTGTCAGAGTTGAGGGTCAGGGCAGATCAGAGGAGAGCCGTTGTCAAGCAAGTGCCAGGCCCTGAATTTGAGCTCTAAACCTCAAAGAAAAAGTAAAAAAAGTTGCATTCTTAAAATGAGGCTTTTGGGGCTGGAGAGATGGCTCAGAGGTTAAGAGCACTGACTGCTGCTCTTCCAGAGGTCCTGAATTCAATTCCCAGCAACCACATGGTGGCTCACAACCATCCTTTATGAGATCTGGTGCCCTCTTCTGGTGTACAGATACACACAGAAGCAGAATGTTGTATACATAATAAATAAAATCTTTTTTAAAAAATGAGGCTTATTATTCTTGCACTATAGAATGTCTTCTGTCAGGCAGACTTCCTATTCTTTCGCTGTCCTTCCTCCGTCTTGTGTGCATCAGCATAATGTGCTAGATTATCCTTCCTGAAAGAGGACAAGGCTAAAGCTGACATCACCAGGCTCTTTCTGCCTCAAGGCTCTGTAGTTCCTACTTCTCCTGCCTTTTGAAGTAGAGGAAGAACTAGTAGAAGGATATTTTCCTGATGGCTTCCTGAAAAGAAGTCACAAAGATTCTGAAAATTGTGGTAGCCTTTCTTTGTGAAAATACTTACCCCTAAAACTTTAATCCAAGAGCCTGTGCTGCTGTGCCAGGCCTACCTCAGATGAAGGCAGTCCTGATGAGGATTAGCAGCTAGTCTTAACGGGCAACTAAACAAGAAGATTTAAGGATTAGTTTACCCAACAACCTTCGGTGTGGATTTGCTTCTCCTGACACTTTTCATTAATAAATATACTTAAAGTTAATGCAAAGTGTGTGTTCTTTATTCATGATATTTAATAGGTATTTTTTTTAAATTTGCTGTGTGTTGTATAGGCATGTGATTTTTGTGTGTGTACCCTCCTGTGTGCAGAATAGGAGGCCAGAAAAGAATGTTGGGTATCTTCCTCTGTGGTTATTACTACCTTGAGTCAGGGCCTCTCAAATAAATGATCCACAAGTTCCCTCAGTTGTCTGGCTAGTGAGTTTATAGGATCTGCTCAATTCTGCTCCCAGTGCTGGGGTTACAGGTACACAAAACTATGCCAGGCTTTTAAAGTGGGTCCTGGGATTAAAATAGGACTTCATGATTTCAGAGCAAATGCTCTTACCCACTGAGCCAGTCTTCAGTATACATTTTCACAAATAAGTGCATCAAATTTTTGAGTTTCTCAAGCACTTATATTTTATATCAAAGTTGTACATTATAGAAACAAAATTATCTCATTCTTAAATAGAGTGAGGTCAGGTTTGGGAGAGATCTCTGAAAATTCTGCATGACCAATTTCTTCTCTACTGATCTGTATGTGGTTTTATTTCATTCCAAAATTACTATACATTTTTCACAAGTGACATTTAGTTTGTGTCAGAACTTTGTTGTTTATTTCTAGACTTGTTTTTTTGAGACAGTTTCCCTGTAGCTTTGGAGCCTGTTTTGGGACTAGCTCTTGTAGACCATGCTGGTCTCTAACTCAGAGATCCACCTGCCTCTGCCTCCCTAGAGTTGGGATTACAGGTGTATGCACACCCCTCATTTTTAAACATTTTAAACCCCCTCTTAGATTTTGTGATTTTTGTGATGTATGTGATGTATTATGAATGCTCAGTGAATGTTCCTTTAATCTGTGTAAGCGAATGTTCCTCATTATCATGAGTTGTTGTTTTTATTGTCAGTTTAATTGCTAAACATTAAACTTGTGTGAGTGAGCATGCGTGTACGTGAACACACACGCGCGCGCGCGCGGTGTTTTACACGAATTATGCAGAGTTCTTTTATGTGTTCTAAGGAATGCTTGCCTATTAGCTATAAGGTTACAACCCTGGTGAGTCAGAGGATTGGAATGAGGATTTGCTGGGCGATGGTATCAGGTGTGTCCCATCCAGGCTGACTTGGATAAGAAGTGTGGCCATTTTAGAAATCTGCCTTAGGTGGTTGCTCTTTTTATCAGGTAGAGTTGACTGTGTTCCAGTGAAACCTCATGGTATTGTTGCTATGAGTCAACCTTAAGGAACAGGTTCTAAGTCAAGGGCCTAGAGTTGTAAAATGGCAGGCTCCTCTGACACTCTTTCAGTGAAGGTGAGATAAAGGGTGGGACCAGGAGGAGTGGCCTGAGCTCTGCAAGGGAGGTGTTGGTGCCTGCCTTTATTTTCTCTTATTATAGGAAGGAATTAGAAGGCTTGTTGAGTTTGTCTTAAATACGAGTGCATTTTATTGTAGT